TTTTTTTTAAAAAAAAAAAAAAAAAAAAAATTTACAAGAATATGAATATTACACAATCATTAATCACTATAATAACTACCGATTTTGGTAATATTTTTTTTTTTACTAAAAAAGTTAAGGTTAATCTGCCTGAACCTCCGGACCTATTTTAATTTGAACCGAGGGTCTTAGGATAAGGACGATTAAAAGACGTAAAATGAAACAATATTGTTTTTTATGGAAAAAAAAAAAAAATTTAATAACAAAAAATAAATATCCAAATTTCTCAAATTTCCATGATAAAAAAAAAAATTTTTTTTTTTCACAATATTTTATGATATTTTATATTTTATGGTAAATTATTATGATTTCGATAAATACTTGTAATAATCCAATATCAATATTATTTATTAATCGAATATATCAAAATTTACTTTATTTTTTTTTTCATTTGTTTAAAAAAATTTTTACTTGATACATACAGTAATTAAAAAGTGTAGAACCATGCATGAACTTGTCATCATTCAATCATATGATCCACTTTTCTTAATTACTATAATAACTTGTCATTCGTAAAATGGGTTCTTCGATAAGAAAGATAAAAGTGCGGAAAAAATTTTATAGCTGCGACATTTAATTTTTAATTGTTAATAAACAAGTTTGTTATCGCATCAAAAAAAAAAAAATATATATATAGCGTAAAATCAACCAACAAAGTACCAGCATGCTTAATTTATTGGATATTGAGTATGAGTTTTATTAACCGGGTCAGTGGTATACTCGGTTAATCATTAGAGGTTATGGTATCTAAGTTGTACACAAATTGTATATTTAATATACTCCGAAAATTGTGTCACCGCATAAGATGATATACTTTTAACAGAAAATTATTTTAGTATTGAATATTGAAAAATAAATCGGTTTATTAAATAATATTTTAATAATCGCTTAATCATATTAAATAAGATCAATAGTAAAAAATAATAATATACAATAATTTGGATTTTTTTTTATTTTTGATTAAATAAAAAAATTTTTTTACATTGAATTTTATGATATTTCATCAGGAATCGATAAAACAATTATTTGCCATCTTTTTTTTAAAAAAAAATAATAATAATAATAAATAAAATATAACTTTCTGTGTGGAATTTCGACGAACGCTTTCGTTACTAATAAAGATAACATTTAATTTTTAATTATTTTAATTATTTTTACAAAACTTTTTCCGTTAAAAAGCCGTAATCATTTAACAATAATCATGTAATTTATATTATTACGTTTAAATTAACCAAAGTCCAAGAAGATGTGCACGTGAAATTTTCATTGGACGTCAATTTAGGGTTGATGATGTATAATAACATGATGATCTACAATACATATGGTCATCGGATATCAAAGTATCTTTATCAACTGCAATGATAATATTGATAAAGAAATTTAATATTCGGTTCGGAAATTCCAATACTTTTAAAAAAATGCTTTTAGCTCTTTAACATTTAAACTAATAATTAATATATAAATTTCGTTCAGTGAAAATGTACTATTTTTTTTTTCCAAAAAAACTTAACTGGTCGTCACGTTATTGCTTATATATAGTAATAATAATAATTTAAAATTAATTAAATTTACATTATTCCATTTTGATATTCATGATATTCATTTCATTCAGATATGTATCGAATAAATGAAAAGGTTCACAAAACAAATTAAGCGGAAAAATTTAGCTTTATTTACCGACTTACCGTTTAAGGTCATTTCAATTTTTAATTCACCCAAAAAAAATATATTTTCCGAAAAACATTTATAACAAATAGATTATGTAACAATATAACTGGTGAATTAATAATTCAATACAATTAGATCATTTTTCCCCACAAAGATCTCAAGATCACTACACATTTTTTAATATCAAATGATGATTGGATAAATTCATTAACTTTATTTATATCCAAAATTGGTAATAATCATTCAAAACGCCTGCAGTTATCATAAGATATGATTATTTTAAAAGTGAAATAAATTTAATTGTCATTTGATTATTATTTATGATTTAAATATTCGGAATAAATTTTTAATTTTTTGAATTTTGTAAAAGTACGCTCATATCAAATTAACTTTACCCGAAAAGATAATTGAGAGTCATGATTAAAATGATTGAAGGTAAAGGCGTTCTAACAAATATCGATTATATCGATTATGCACTATTCGAAATTCTCTATAAATGCATGACTAGTATTTTTCAATCATTTTACTTCTTTTTTTTTTAAAAAAAAACACATCTAAACATTTAAATCTAATAAATTATTTTTAAATACATCTTTCAAATTATTTTTAATAAAATGCTTATCATTTTGTCATTGGATGATTTTTTAAAACAAATAAATTATGAAAAACTTAGTCATGCCGCTTACGCCCTTCAAATCTTGCAAAATTTTGAATTTTTAACTGCAAAGGATTTATTAAGATTTAACATCAAATCCGAAGGGAATCGATTAAATGTTAATGAATCCATAATAACATTAGCACTTAACCGACTTTGGCTCGATCCTATTTTAAAAGCAAATTTAACGGTCTTAGCAGAAGAAATTAATAATACTAATGTAAATAAGAAAATGGTTAATGATGAAAATTTAAGTAGGATTATTCAATTAGGACCGCAAAGTGCCAGTACTTCTTTCGAGGATAATTTTTTTAACGGTGTTAGTTTTCATAATAATAACGAAATTGGATTTGGACGTTTATTCTAACCACTTAGAATATGTAAATCATCAACTGACGTCGTAGATCGATTATTATTATTATTTTAAAAAAACATTCTTCATGTAAATTACGAAATTCATATACAACTTATAAATTTATTTCTTTCTCTTACGGCTTTATAGATTGTCTAAATTAGTTATTAGTAACTATAAATTAATTAAAAAATGTAAATATTATGATAACTGATTATGAAAATTTTCCCAAAGAGCTATTGCAACAATAACTTCCCTTCCCATTATCGTTTCTTAAATCCTATTTAAATTTGTAAAATTTTTTATTCTAAGTTAGTCAATTATTAAATCTTTTTTAAAAATTATGTACAATATATATTCTATAAAGAACTTCCAGATTGTAATTTGAATGTGTGATAACGGTCGAGATTTCGTAGTAAATCCGATTTAAGATTATTTGTTTGCGAGTTTTTAGGTTTTTTCAATTAAAACTTAATAAATTTATGTAATTTTTTCGAATATTTCCGTTATGTCGTATTTTTTTCAAAATTTAAGAAAATCGACCATAATTTTCGCTAATACGTTACGTACTATATCTAAAATATAGTTTATAAAGGCCATGTCATAATTAAAGATGGTATACCAGTTAGTCTGTTGTAGTCTGTTGCTGTACATTTTTCGTTTGTTATAATTCCAAATCCATAAACATCATGGAAAATTCTTTGCATTGAAGTTGTCCGTTAAAATTTCTACCATTTCATTTCCACCCGTCTAATTTTTTTAATTTTCTTTATTAATTATTAGGAATAATGCATTATTACCACGAAAAGTTACAGACAAATTCTTATTGAAGTAAAAAAATAAAACAGTATGTACCGTATCTTATGGCGATATACTAAGAAAAATTTGGTTACACTTAAAACTTTATAATTACAGATCATATGATATCATTATGACAACACTGCCGACACTCAACAATGTCTCTAAAATTTTTTAGAACACAGACATTACTTTTTTTGGGAAAACAACCGTTAATCTTGACTCACTTTTTTTTTTGACTCAAGTAAATTGGTAACAACCTTGTTCTATCTACCTTTATTTTGTTCCGATTAAATTTTCATTTTCGGGTTTCATCATATATTCATTCTTTTATTTTTATTTTTATTGGATTTCTCTATTATTTCTGGTCGAGACTCGAGATTATATCAAATTTAGTATAATTTTTCATTTATAATTTTTATAGTTCAATAATGAAAATCATTAAATAAATATTTAAAATAATTTTTTTGTTCGTACAATAGTCAAGTAAAAAATCATTAACCTGTAATGCTAAAATATTGATAATATGATATTTTCTTGTTTATTTGTTATGTGTGAAATGTTACGCACGAAACGACTTTGTTCTATAACTTTTTTTTTCATTTTTTTTTGAAAGACGAATATTACACAAAAGTTAATCACTATAATAGAACACCAATTTTGGGTAATATTTTTTTTTTACTAAAAAAGTTAGGAACCTCCGGACCTATTTTAACTTGAGCCGAGGTCTAGGATAAACGGACGTAAATAAAACAATATTTCTTGTTTTTATGAAGAAAAAAAAAAAAAAAGAATTTAATAATAAAAATAAATAAAAATAAATATCCAAATTTCTCAAATGTTAAAAAAAAAAAATTTTTTTTTTTTTAACAATATTTTATGGTAAACTATTATCGTTATGATTTTCGATAAATAATAATCTGATATATTTAATATTATTTATTAATCGAATATAATTTACTTGATTTTTTGTATGATGACTTAAAAAATTTTTTATTTTATACATACAGTAATTGTTTTCTTGATAAAAGTATAAGAACTATGCATGAACTTTGTTATTATTCGATCATATGATCCACTTTTCTTCATTACCATAATAAAACTTGTCATTCGTAAAATGGTTTCTTTGATAAGAAAGATAAATCGGAAAAAATTTATTATGGTTTGGCGACCTTAATTTTTAATTATTTAATAAACAAGTTTATTATCTGTTATCTGTTAACTGTTATCACATCAAAAAAAAAAAATTTTAGCGTTTAATCATACCGCGTGCTAATTTTATTGGATATTGGAACTTTGATTTCATAACCTGGTCATTGGTCATTCGGTGATTCATTCAAAGGATATGGTACACTAATTAATTGTATATTTACTTGTATTCTGAAAATGTAATTTTTTCTTTGTTGCTGATCACATTTATTGGGGTCACCGCATAATTATGAATGATATTATACTTTTAACAGTTGATTTGTAATAATTATTCGTTATAAGTTGGTTTATTGAATAATACTTTAATAACTGCTTAATCATATTAAAAATCGATAATAAAAATATATTTAATATTTAATATACACAATAATTATTCGAACTTTTATGATATTTTTGATGTTTACATTATTTATATTGAATTTATGATATTTTATTTTTTAAAAAAATCAGGAAACGACAACACAATTAATTTACGCGATCTTTGAAAAAAAAAAAAAATATATATATAAATAGATAAATAGATAAAACGATTAAGCAAAATTTAATTATTACCTTTCGGTATGGAATTTCGAAATGCTTCCTTTAATAAACGACAACATTAAATTTTTAATTATTTTAATTATTTTGAAAACTTTTTCCGTTAAAAGCCGTAGTAATTAACAATAATAATGTAATTTATATTATTACGTTTACATTGATAAAGTCCAAGGAAATATGCACGTTGGAAACTATTGGCATTACATTGGATGTCAATCACGCTGATGATGTAATTATGTAATGAAATATTACGTAATGATTGATGTACCGTACTAGTGATCACAGGATATCCGTTAATGATATCAAGTATCTTATCAATGATTATTATATTGATAATATTCGGCTTGGAATTCCAGATTTTTAAAATTCTTGAACTAATGATTTAATATATTTAATATATAATTTTCGTTCAGTGAAAAATGTACTGCTAGTTTTTTTTTTTCTAAAATAATTTAACTGATACATTCATATATTATAATATAAAAAATAATAATAATAATTAAATTTACCTTATTCCAAGTTGATATTCATGATATTCATGATATTCATTTTAGTTATCAAGGTTACAAATAAATTGAGCGGGAAATTCAGTTCTAATACCATTTAAGGATTTAAATTATTAATTCACTCAAAAAAAATATTTTTCCGAAAAACATCAACAAATAAATTAGGAAACAATACTTGTTGAATTTGCTGAATTATAAATTCAAACATAATTCGATCAACCACATTTCTTAATTACACATGTTGATTGGATGTTTAATTTATTTAAAAACAATTTATTATCCAAAATTAGTAATAATCATTGCTAAGCGCAAGGAGATCAAAATTTTGATATCAAATTAAACTATAAAATTTTAAAACGTGCTTTTTTGACAGATTGTCATTTGAGATTAACATTCGGAAAAAATTTGAGGTTTTTTGAATTTACAAAAGTACGATCAACTTATTAGGCACAACTATATTATATACACTAATTATTCGCTAAACTTTAACCCGAAAATATTATTATTAGTCACGTTTAAAGATAGTTATGTACTATTCGAAATTCTTTATATAAATGACTAGAGTTCATAAATAATATTTTTCAATCATTTACTTCTTTAAAAAAAAAAAAAATACACTTAAAACATTTAAATCCAACGAAACTATTTTGAAAGATGAATACCGCTCATCCAATTTTATCAGTAAATGATTTTTTAAAACAAACAGATTATAACAATATTCAACAACTTAATAGTCCAGAAATACTTGCCGTTCACGACTTTCCTATTTTACAAAATTTTAAATTTTTTACTGGAAAAGATTTATTAAAGTTAAACGTCCAATCTGAAGGAAGTCGACTAAATGTATTTGACGAATCCATAATAAGGGAAGCACTGAACCGCCTTTGGCTCGATCCTATTTTAAAAGCAAATTTTTCAGCTTTAGCCGAAGAAATAAATAATGCTAATATAAATAAAAAAAGGTTTAATGATGAAAACTTAAGTAAGATCACTCAGTTAGGGCCACAAAAGGCCCGTACTTCGTTCGAGGATGATATGTTTAACGGTGTTAATAATAGTCATTATAATAATGACAAAATTCAATTTGGACATTTGTATTAAGTAATATTTTTGATTTTTCATATGTCGTTAAATGACGTCGTCATAGATTATTATTTTTTTTAAAAAAAAAAATCTTCCAATAGAAGAATATCTTATAGAATTATTTAGAAATATTTAGAAATGTAGATATTATGACACTGTGAAAATTTTCCGAAAAAATTATTATTGTAACAATAACTCTTTCCCACTTATCACTCATGTAAATTAACAATTAATGATTACTATAAATTAATTTTAAAAAATTTTATGACTCCCTTTTCCTCAACATTTATATATACAGTAATTAAGCTATAGTTGTCTGACAAAACCTCAGGATTTTACAATATCAAAAGTTTAAACTTGTTTAGACGTTTTTTCATTTGTCGAAAACTTTATATGGTTTTAATATGATTATGATTTTTACTATAATTTATATATATATATATTTTATAGACTTTTTAGACTTTTTTATAATTGAAATTATGATTCTCTATTTTATTTTAGATTTTTATAGAAAAAAACTAAATTTTATTTTTTTAAGATGGCTGAGCATGTGATCAAAATTCTTAATTTGGATTGGTCAATTAGTTTTGACGAAGTTTACACGTTTAGTATTTGTTTAGATTAATTAGTCAAACATAGTTTTGTTAAGCAACAATATTCTAAGTTAATTTTATTAATTACTAATTTTTTTTAAAAAAAAATTATGCACAATTGAAAAAATCTTTTCTATAATTAAAATAAGAAATTTAAATTATTAAAAATGTATGATTTTTAAATAAAAAATTAAAATTTGGCATGAGAAATTGTGTTGAATACTATCAGTTGTGATTTTGATGATTTTAAAAACAAATATTCGAACTTTTCCGCTTTCATCATATTTTTTTCAAAATCTAAAAATTCGATCATTACTTGATTATAATTTCCGTGGAATATATAAAACTCGGACTATTTATAATATGCCCGTTACATATTAATTTGTTTGCTATAATTCCAAATCCATAAATATTTTCTTTTAAGTATATTAGGAGTTACATAACTCTGGTCGACACAACGATCAATAATTTATGACTATAGTATATACTGCACGCTACTAAAGGAAAATCATTGTCATTATGAGAGCATATTAAATAGTTCTAGTTGCGATCCAATATAAAAATTTCAACTTCTTTTTTCATAATTTATTGGAAATATACTTTTGCATTAAGTTTATAATTTTAATAAAATTTCTGATCACTTCATTCTCACCCGTCTAATCTTTGAAATTTTCCACAATATCCTTTATTATTATTAGAAATAATGAACACTGTTGCAACGCTGCGACTAATACACAAGGTTAATTCCTTCTGAAATTGTTGTTATTACAATACAATACGACAATACAATGTTGTAGTATTGCGTATTCGCGCAGCCGCAACTATTTTATAATTTTCAAACTTTGTACTAAAACGGCATGTACCGTACTGTACTGTGATTTGTAATATTAAATGGCATACGAATTATTTATGTTATATATAAATGAAAAGTTTTCCTTATAATATATTTCCTGCAAAAACTTAATATCAAGTGATCGTTCTCGAAATTTCTGAAAATGGATTTATATGAAAATCATGGAAGAGTAAATTCGGAAAAGTCGGTGGAAGATATTCGCTTCTATTATAAAAAAATGTAACCAATTTTTTCTTATAAAATATTAATTTCTTAAATAAGAATTTGTCTGTAATGATAATAACGACGTTGTATCGTTGTAATTATAATAATATACTCTATTATAAACTTGCCGCAACAACGCATTTATTTTTGAATTTTCGTTATTTTCGTTGTAAAATTCTATTATATAATTATCTATCCAAATATTATATATTATAATGCAAATTAACTTGATATACATAATTTATTGAAGCAACTTGATAAGCAAGTTGGTTTTTTCTATTTACAGAAAATATTAATATATAGTAAAATAAATTGCAGAACTTACATAGAGGATAGAACTATTATAAAGATTAAGTAATGTTATGGAAAAAGAAAATAAGTAATTTTAATTTTATATAAGATGTAACTGAAGCCAAACAGCATATTATGGATTTTAGTATTCTTTTCAGTCGACTTCACGAGTTGTTCTGTCATAGTAACATTACACCTAAAAAGGATGACAGGCACTTTTTATGAAATTCATTACTTTCTTTATCATTGCCATCATCTGTTGGCAATGACTCAATTCTTTGATTGTGGTTGTGCAGAACGATGTTTCTCATCCTAGCAACTGAGCGAAGTTCCTCTAAAAATAGGTTGGTTATATTTCTAAATTTATATAATTAGAAATAAAATAATATACATACGGTTTCTTATTATTTTCCTCATCTTTGTCCTGCTTTCCTTCAATTTAGTTGTTCTATTTCTCTATCAATTTATTCTAATTTTCTTTTAATTCTATCCATAGAGAATAAAGCTCGTGTAAGTTCAGCAGAAGTACATACTTGTTGGCGTCATTGAAGAGGCATTATAAAGTGGATAGTTTTTGGAAACAAGATTCTTAAAAGAGAATAATGATAAACTCTCGATAAACTATTTATGGCATCATATGATCTATATGACTCGTAAGTTATTTGATCATAACATGAAGTATTATAACTTATGACTTTGCCATAATGGATTTAATCGAAACAAGTACCAATATTTTTAACCTCTTTTTATACTTTCTATTATGTAAAGAATATTTACGAAGAATATTTTTTCATTTCAAATTAATCCTATGTATATATAATATTTCAAAGTGATCTATCATCAAGTTATATTTAAGTACTATGATCTTCTAGTGAATATATTTTACAATTTTTGAAAATTGAATTAGAAAAGTTGGGATATAATAAGGTATCACAGGAAAGTAATTTTTTACACCAAACTTAACTTCCTTCCTTATCTCATTTATACAATTGAAATATTAGTGACTTATTTATTCATAAATAAAAAATAATTTAATTTTTATTACAATGTTAACCTTTAATTTTTTCGGACATGAATAATAATTGATATGAGTCTTACTATATTTCCATTAAACGTCCTAGAATAACATTATACCATTATCCTTAATCTCCCATCAAATTCATAATAAATATAAAAAATAAATAAATAAAAAAATGGATAAATTATAGGTATTTTACTACATTTTAAATATTCTCATTTTAAAGTAACTGTGTTCAACTACTTTCATCTAGAATAGAAAATTGATAAATAAAATTTGATAAATCAAAAAATCACATGCAAAAGTAATTACCTTTAGAATTAATATCAAGTTTAGTAAGATCTATTCTTGTAGAATCTGTAAAGCAAAAGAATAATTATTACTCTAAATAAATTTAAATAATTATTTTAAATTAAAAGTACCTGAATATTCTAAATCATCATTGTCAGCATTCATGGGTTCTGGAAGATTATTAAAATTTAAAAGTCTACTTGTGTAAACTGCTTGAGGATGTGTCATATATGAAAGTGTGCTTGTAGATGATAATGGTAATTGAACTGGAAAAGATGACTTTTTATTAATTTCATCTGCTTCTTTAACTTGCCCATAAATAACAGAATCCACTTTATTGTTTTCAATATCTGAATATAGTTCATACATGAAATTAAATATTTCAACTGCACTAGGTCGTTTTAAAGGGTCTGCATCCCAACATTGATTAATTATATCAACAATTAGTTGAGGGATTTTATAATCACATTTTGGTCTCAACCCCTTACAAATTTTCATTGCTAAGAATCCATCATGAGCTATATCATAATAAGGAGGGAAACCTGTACAAATTTCGTATGCAATAATTCCATATCCATAAATATCACTTTTTTGAGTATATTCTTTTTCTCTTAAAACTTCTGGAGCTACATAAGGTAATACCCCATATATTTTTTTATTACTATTTTGAGAGGATTTAACATTTGCCGGTTGACACAATCCCAAATCAGTAATATAAGCTTCACGATCAAAATTGCTTAATATATTCCCACAATGAAAGTCATGATGAATTAATCCTTTATTATGAATATCTTTAAGACCACTTGCAAGACCTAGTAAACTATGTATCTTTTGCTTCCAACCCAGTGAAATGAAGTTGTCATTTAAATGTTGTCTTAAACTACCAGCTTTTAATTTCATCACCATCATAAAATTATTTGTTTTCGGATCTTTGGTAATACCATAGCAACTAACTACCCATCCATATCTTCCAGATTGACATACTAACATTGATTCAACCTAAAGTATAGTTATAGTTAGTTTAACGTTTATAATGAAGATTTATAAGAAAATATCTTACTTCTTTTAAAAAATCTGCTGTAATATCTTGTGAGTTATGTAAGCACTTTAAAGCAACTTTCGTTTTACCATCTCTTAACCATTGATTATTTTTATAATTTAATTCCAGAAAAGGACCATCTTTCCAAACTGCTTTAAAAGTAGTTCCAAATCCCCCTTTTGCTAAATATTCAACATCTTCAAATTTATCATATTCAATCCATTCTATGATTTGATAATATTTTTTAGCATTTAATTGTGCTTTTTGAATAAATTCATCAACGTCATGATTTCCACTTGTCCAATTTTTGAAATTTGATTGAAACTTATTAATATTACATGGCTGACAATAAAAATAATAAGTTTCAGGCTGCTTACAAATTTTACATAAACCATATTGCTTATAACATTCTTTTAAATTTTCGTCTGTTATTAATTTATCAATTAACGATTTTTGTTCTTCAGTCAAGAAATAATGATCAAAATCTTTTATTTGCTCAAATACATCATCACTTAGTTTAATTTCATCCATTTTAATAAATAATTTTTAAACAAAAAATATGTTATTAATTTGTATGTAAAAATTATTAAAAAATAATAAAGGAAAAGGAAAAAAATGAAAAAAAAAGTTATTTTATGTTGAAATGATTTCAAGATCGGCAACAAAATTATCAAAAAAAGAATAGTTAAAATACACACGATTTTTATAAATTCTCCATAATAGGTAAGATTAAATTTTAAGTAATGACAAAATAAATAAAATGTTTAACTAAATATAGTAAGCATTATATATTAAAAAGTTGTCAAAAAAAAAATAAAAAATAAAAAATGAAAAATTAAAATGTCATTATTTTTCAAATCTATCATACTCAATCTATTCTAGAAATCAAATATTTAGTCAAGAGAGAATTTGGAAATTTAGGAATTGTTTAAAGTAACTTTGAAATAATAAATATAATTTTCCTTCTTTTGATCTTTTTGTTCGTTAGATTTGCAAAAATTCATTAAATTTCAGATATTTATAATGTCGTCTTATTCATTAATTTATTGTAATATATATATATTTTTTACTAAATTCATAAATAATGATTATTTAACCTGACCTTTTTTTGAATTTCTTAATATATGACATTCAACAGTATTAACGTTCTGTTAATGAAATTTTTTATTTTTTCAAAAATTTATATTGATTATCAAGTTTTTTAGAACTATATGTTACCAAATTTAAATTCTCTCAATTTTCTATATGAATAAACAGAGAACGGATTTTATTTAATAACTTTAAAAACTTCGTTCTTATTAATTTCTCTATACGGTGACTAGAATAAATATTGGTCACATGAAAGTAATGCAATATTTACTGTATGATTTTGGAAAAGGTTCACGAAGATGTTTACAAAATTAAATTGTGTCATTTCATAACTCAGTGACAATGAATTAAAATATTTTGGGTATTAATCAGTTGGTATTAACTGGAAAATAAACTAATATTAAATGAAAAATGAGTATAAATATTAATTTGTAAAATTTGAAGTTTAGCTAAAATACGTAGAGAAGCCACAATATCTTATGCTAATTTTGTTGTAAAAATAATACAAAAATGTAAAGATTATAAAGATTAAAATTGTAAAATGTGGCTAAACTACTAAAGTCATCGTAAAATCAATAATATTATTCTTTAGTATGTAAAAGAATCTCTGACTTTTTGGAGTGCATGAGCTAGTTGCACAAGTACAGGCTTAATTTCTAAATTTAAGACACAACCAAATGAATATAACATGTATTTAGGTATATACATTTTATAAAAAATTTTTTTTTTTTTGTGTAAAATCAATATAAAAATGAATAAGATGCAAATTCTTGAATTTAGCTTTAAAAATTTGAATATCTTGATTGCAATATTCATTTTTATCAGTTTTGAGATTTAATTTATAAAAGAAATTCTATAAAAGGGCATTTGTTAATTTTTATTAATAAAAAGGTTAGTTCATAGTAATGTGCGACCTACGCTATATATGATAAATATTTGTTTTGCAGTTATTCTTGTATTTCACATATTTCACATTCATCATCCGTTCTTTGACTTTTTTTAGCAAGTGAAAGGACAAGGTAAAAATAAAAAAACTAAATTTTGAGAATGATAATCGCATAATCGCTGTTTGTATAATCCAAGCCACATCACTTGGGATCACTTGGATTTTTGTAACTCGATTTATACTTTATTAAGACAAAATGCGATTTTTTTTTCCATATGAACATTCTGCTTTATATAAGCTTTAGCATAAGTTTTATAGTTCTTTTATCACGAAACATGCAAATATTTATTTTTTTTTAGCATTAAAAGTTTACGAGTATTTCGCAAGACAGTAAATTGTTATAAAAATATACTTTTTTTCTATATAATTATATTGTTTTATACAAGACTTTAAAATAAATCTTATAATATATAGGTCACGAAACTCATAGCACTTTTAGATTATCTATGCTTATATTGTGATTTTATTTTGCTTTAGATTTATTATTATTTCTATTAAAATATTTAGTATTATTTTCAAAAATAATATACTTTAAGTAATGATATAAGATGGCATATCATTTATTATCTTCTTTATGTATTTTCAACTGTTTCTTAGACTTTATATTTGCATTTTTACTATATATAGAATTAGAAGAATTTATAATCATCAGGATTGTGTAACTCATCTATTTAAAGGTCCAAAACTTTGAATCTTGTTAACTTTGTATTGATTTAATTATTAATTTATTGTTATTGCAAATTTATTTATTGATTAAACATTTAATATTACAGATTTAGATTCACTTGTGAATAGGGATGGCAACGGTCGGTCATGGTCAGTTATCGGTCAGTCATAACCGGTTAAGGGCCTTTGACCGACCGACCGTTTTGGCTGACCGTTTTTCTGACTGTTTAACCGACCGTTTAACCGACCGTTTAACTGATCACTTTTTAACGTTTTTTTCTTGATTACAGCAAATTTCAAAATATACGAGACACTTGAGAAATTTGATTGTCAGGTTATCGGGTAGCCAGGTTACTCAGCAGTAGGTTGTTTATTAGAAAAGTATAAATAACACGTGATGAGTATAATGAATAGTAGTATATCAGATTATATAATAACCTACTGCTGAGTAACCCGGCTACCCGACAACCCAACAATCAAATTTCTCAAGTGTCCCGTATATTTTGAAATTTGCTGTAAAATTCGTTAAAAAGAAGAAAGTGTAATTTAATCAAAAAAAAATGCTATTTAGCTTTTTTTATTGATTAAGTTCGTAAAAAAAGGCTAAATAATTAAAAAAAAGGCCAAATAATCGGTTAAACGGTCAGTTAAACGGTCAGTCAAACGGTCAGTCAAACCGGTCGGTTAAATGGTCGGTCAGAAGCCTTTGACTGACCGATATCGGTCACGGTCATAACCGGTCATGACCGGTTAATAACCGTGACCGTTGCCATCCCTACTTGTGAAGATAAGAAAGATTGGTATCTCAATTAAATAAATGATAGATAAGATGCATGGAAAGGTTAACTGGCAAGCTCTATACTACTTTATGGAGAAAACTCATTCTTATTTGATTATTTAATTATTAAATAAATAATAAAATATTTTCCATTCTAGTTATACATAAAAATGCCATGTAAGAGCTCATTCCTTACTTTTTGCAGCTTTTTATAATAAAATTCAAACCAGAACAATTATTTTTATAATGAAACAACAAAAGACAAAGAAGATTATCCAGGACCTATGGATATAATGTAAAAAATGTGAAGGTTGAAAAATATGAGTATGAATATCTTTAAGACTAAATGAAATAGCTTATAATATGTAAGCTTTTTAATGACTCAAAATTATTATTTAAATGTTATCTTAAATTATAATCCTTTAGTTCCATTACTGTTAAAAATTATTTATTTTTCGATCTTTGGTAATACAAAATAACGAATTATAAAATCAGATTCACATGCCAAAAGATGTAACCCGACTTAAAGATAATAATTAGTTATAGGCATTTCGGCATTGATAAAAGCTATTAATACTAAATAAATGAGAAATATCTATTATGTAAGCATTTAAAGCAATCCTTCTTTCATCATATCTTTTCTATTTATTATTGTAATAATTCCAATCATAAATCTGAGTAACTTTCCAAATTATTGCTTTAAAAGTAATTTCAAATCCTCCTTTTTAAATATTCAATCATTTCAAATTTATCATATTCAATCCACTCTACGACTTGTCTCACAACTTTAGCTTTTAATTGTGCTTTTAGAATAAATTCAAATTATTCATATTCTACTTGTTCAATTTTAAATATTTGTTGAAAATGATTAGAAATACATGGCTTACACCACTAATAACCAGTATTAGGCCGCTTAAATTCTTCACATAAACCATATCACCTATACTGTAACTTTCTTTTAGTTCTTCATTTAATAAATATTAGTTTATCGATTATTCTTCTGTTAAACGATAATATACAAATCTTTTATTTGTTCTATTATATCATCGATAACTTTAATTGCGCCCATATTAAATAATGGGTGAGAAATATGTTATAAATTCATATTTAAAAAATCACAAAAGGTATAAGAAAAAAAAATATTAGTGAGAACTAGCTTCATTCATACCGGAAAATGATAAACTCCGATCGATGTGCTGGTGACTTAATTTCTTTCGTGAGAAATTTTTATAATTAATTAACTGTTAATTAATTGGAATAATTGAATTCCTAAATAATAAAAAAAATACAAGGATTCATGCCCAGTCTAGCTATATTTTAATTTTGTAGTTTTAGTTAATGAGAAGAGAACTTTTATTTTAATAAGGGCAGTAACATAAACTTAAATTTATAACAGATAATTATTCCTTAAAAGTTATTTTATTAATAGTTAAATTTCTGTATTATTCAAATTAAAAGAAATTCGAATTGGAACTATGATCCTTAATGACCTATTTATACGTGTGCCCTATTTTTTGTTATAAACTGAATCATGGTTTATAAATTATTGTTGATCCCTAAATATCCCTCTAACTTTAACAACTCCCCGAACAAAAAATATTTTTTATATGTAATAAACTGAGGAACCGATCAAAAAAGAGAAAGGAAGCGATTTATTAGTATTTCTTTTACGGGTTTTATTTTTTTTTTAATTATATTAAACTTATCTAATACTTGTATACAACTAACTAACCAACTTTCCCAAACTTTTTTCAAATAGATCTGACATTATAATTATCAAAAATATGAAGTGCTTGAAATAAATGATAAATATTTTTCGTTAATTTCGTTAATGATGAGTATAGCGTTATCCAGATTCAGTATTCTATAATAGACTTCTTAAGATAGTTGTTAGAATAGTTATAAATTTAAATAAGCTTTAATTGCTAAATATTTGAAGAAGTAAAGGGATTTTAAGTCTTAATAATTATAAATGATAAAATAATCATTAAAATTATTTCTTTGTGTGAAACTTTTTATGTGTATATTTACTTGGTCAGCTAATACGCATAACACTACCAATCAATTCTATTCGTTGGTTACATCACATAAATCCAAAAAAGATACTTTGTTTCTCGCAAAAAATGAAATTTTCAATTACACGAATTTCCAAAAAGGAAAATTTGTCTTTTCCGGAGATCACTTTTTAAAATTTCCAATAAAAAAAGTTTATATACAAACAAGTTAACATTAAACATGGCAGGGAGCTATAGTCATAGTATAATTAGAACTGTAATAATTCTGACTTTTTTTTTAATTAAGTTGGTTTATACTACCATACAGTATCATAATTATGATAAATAGTTTTTAAGATTTAAAGAGAATTTCTAAATTTTAACTGGTGGAAAAATTACTGGTAGATCATGTGATTGTGTATTAAATATTCATGTGATTTATTATGATGATGCAATTTCATTTGGCTCGCTTCGCTCGCCGGGCTTTTCTAGCCAAACCATAACTTTCACTTTATTTGCAAAATTTTTGATTATATTTAACATATCTATAAAAAAAAATGAGAAATTACTCTTAACTAGCTATTAACATAATTTTTTTCTCATTTGGTAAAGGATGATCATTTTCGGTTTATTTTGCTTGTTAATCATTTTTGGCTTAGTTATTTCACTTGTTAATCATTTTAAGGTT